TAGCTGTGGTGGCGTGATGCTTCAACACCCAAACTGGGGCAAATTCAAGAGTTTTGTAACCTCGAGGAATGAGTTAGAAACAGGCTTGCAGCTGATCGCAGCCGACAGCCTCCTTCCCAGACAGGGCTGGCCAGGGTGCTGTGGGGCCAGCTGCTAGAGCAGGCCTTGCCCCCAGCTCAGGGGTATACACATTACTAAGACCATGTCCTCACTGGACAGTATATCCAGGCCACTGGGCAACACAGGTGTCCATTCACTGTCATGAGAGGTGGTTCCGGCTCTGCAGGTGGCTTTGGCCCAGAGCCAGGACACAGGGATGAAAGTTCTGTTGCCTAAGGACAGGTCAGACCTCCAAGAAGCAAGGCCCCTAGGGTCCTGGGGACCTTGCAGAAACAAAGAGGACCGACTGTGCCATCCTTTCTGGCAAGAGCTATCCCAATTTGGGAGCAAGCTGACAGAAAGTGACTTCCAGGATGTGGAGGGCAGCGGCCTGGTCTTTGTGGGATCATGTCACTAAAGGGAGACTCTGCTTCCACACCAAGGAACCTTCCCTGGCCCTGCCTGCTTCAGAACTTCTAGCCCTTAGCTTTGCCTGAGCCTCTGGATGCCAACTGCTGTGTCCTGTGTCTATACAGGTCCCTTGTACTGGCAGTGCCCTGGAGATGATGCCAGAGTTGGGGTGATAAGCTAGCCAGATATCAAGCTGCACCTCCTGCCCCTGCTTCATTAAGGGCCAGTAGAAACCACAGTCCGAGGGAAGGGGCTGGAGGGACTGCTCTATTGGAAAAGCGCTTGCCCTCCAAGTACCAAGACCCAAGTTTGAATCCTAGAACCCATCAGAAAATGCTGGCATAGTGGCACACTGTAGTGAGATATCCACCCGCCCATACCTGTAGCACTGACCCTCCTTCTGGAATCCACTCTCTCCTTGGTTAATGGCCTCTTGGGCAAAGAACTGCCCCGATCTCGACCGCTGACTTTGGAAATGCTGTCCTACTGTGCTTGCAGGAAATAAACTTAGAAGACTGCTGAGCCTTGTGAAGTCAGGGTAAGACAGCCTTTCTACTTCCCTGCTTCTGTGTTGGTCAGTCAGATACTCTAGGCCTTAGCCAAAACTGGTTGCCCTTATGCGGCTGTGAGACTTTGGGTGACTGTCCAGGTAGCCTGCTGTTTCTGTCTTCACTGTACCTTTTGGAAGTTGCTCACCTGCACTTCCTGCCTACCTCAGTATTGCTATCTTCCTTCTCAGGTCTTTGATAAAATTGAAAATTAGACTGTCACAATTATTGATCTCTCTTCCTAGATAGAAGTATTAGGTACAAGATTTAAACTTTCCAGCTTAGGAGAACTCTACAGTAATCTCTGTTATGCCTTCACCCTAGGACTGGATATGTAGTTCTTGCCTTTTGCTTTAGTTGCTTCAATGACAATAGGTCTTTTTCTTCTCCTAGAGCTTTCATAATATTTGTTCTCTTTGTATATAGTTTCATATCAAGCCTAAATCTTTTTATTTAGACTAAAAGGAGAATTGTAGTGAGAGATCCACCCGCCCATACCTGTAGCACTGTTTGGGCGTGGTCACAGGTGAGGATGGGATCAAGGACGCCAGAGCTCTCTCTTGCTGCTAGTTGGGTCACAGGAACAGTCTAGGAGGATCCTTGGAGCTGGAACCTGTGGCAGTCACCTGCCTCTTGTGTAAGTATATTCTCCCTGAATAAACTTCACTTAACCTGAACTGAGTCTAGTGAGTCTTGATTCCCACGCAATAGCCCACCCTTGTAGTCTCAGCGCTGGGGAGGCAGAAACTGGTAGATCCCTAGGGCTTATGGCCAGTCAAGCCTGACTGGTGTGCTACAGGCCAATGAGAGATGTCTCAAAGGAGGTGGACAGTTTTCCAAAGGATGACACCAGAGGCCATCTCTAGCCTCCATGGGTACATTCACACATGTGTGCACACACATAAAAAAAAAACAAAAACAACAAAGCACAGTTAACCAGAAGCAGCCATAGCTCACAATCCACTGGCTACGGCAAGGGAAATGGCCCCAGGCCAGTGCACCATGTTGCTGGGGGGGGGGGGAGTTTGGATACTAGTGCATTATGGGAATTTCCCGCGTAACTTTTCAATTTACAATGGGTTTGTTGACTGCACTGTTAGTCAAGGAGCAGCTGCATCCAAAGCCACGACCCTACTGCTCCACTTGCTTGAGTTTTATCCGTTGAGGGTCTCTCCAGAGCCTGGATCTCCTGGGCTCTAACAGTTCTCACCGCTGCAGCCTCCAGGTAGCTGGGATTAGAGGTACAAGCTATCGGTCCCAACATCCCTGTCCAGTCTTCCCAGGCCTCACTGTGGAGCAAGGAAGGACTAGGCATCTCCTTATCAAGCTGCAATAAACCCATGCTCTTCTGGGAGGACACGGATTTAAAGCCCTCGGGGAAAGGGAACCATGAAGACTTGCTCATCTTTCAGGTAATGTCACCCCAAAGGCAGGCTGAACTCTCAAACTCAGTCTGATGAGGAGTCATGCGGTTATGACCTGAGAGTTGGGCTGTGTGGGCAGGGGTGTGGAAATGTCAGGCCCCTGAGGCCACGTGTAATGTGTGCAATGGCATGGGCGTGTCACCTAAGATACCTCCTTTAGCTGCTTGGCTAGACTGGGTGGGTCTGCACGAGAAAGACCTATGCCAGGTCAGGAGCAGATTGAGGAGAGTAGCCAGGCTCCACCTGCCAAAAGACCAGTGAGGCCTGGGCTTCATGCCCAGGGGATACTCCACGTGAGTGGGACCTCCCTGGTGCCTTCTCCTCTGGTGTCCCACAGAAGTGTTTAGACCAGGATAAAGCAGCCCCGAACTCAGTGACTACAGCACAACACCTCCTTCCCTGGGTAGGGACAGAAGCAGGGCAGTCCTCGGAGGAGAGGCCTGGCTGAGACCCCCCAAGAGCTGGTGCCTTCTCAAGCCTGGATGGGTTCCAGAGTAAGTAGTGGGTATGAGGGCCCCAAAGGACAATTACAGACCATTGTCCTATCAGTGAGCAAGTCACTCGGTAAACAGAGGAGTGAGGGAGAATCCTGTCAACACAAGCCACAATTCAGTCCGCCATACCAGTCCTCTAAGTCACAAATGTTCCTAAACATACGGATAGGACAGAGAAGCCCAATATTTCGGGGTACAAACTTAATAGTCCCTGAGCACCCCTTTCCCCTCCAACAGTGCCTGGGATGCCTGCCACAGACCCCATGACAAGCCCCGCCCCCCCCCCCCCGCAGCACCTTCCTCCCAGGGTGGTAGCTCCCACTCTGTCCCTTTCTACCCTACCCAAGGTAGTTCCAATGAGTCACCAGCACTGGGGGAGGCCAGGGTCTGAGGGGAGCTCATGCGCGCGCGCGGGGGGTGGGGTGGGTGTCAAGACAGCTGGGCACGGCCTCCAAGCACTGGGGTTCGTCCTCTCCCAAACGACACTTTATAAAAAGACATCGTAATTGAGTTTAATAATGTACTCCCTTCCAGAAAGGGCCTGACAGGCGCTGCCTGCTGCTCACTTCTGCCCCATTCCAAATATTTTTACCTTATTTGGATGAAATGCATTATTTTTCTAATGAAAGGCTTTTTTCAAGGGGCAGTCTCCCCCGTCCAGCAGCTGTCTTTATTAGGCAGCCCTCACGCAGTTTTGGGGAGGGGCTTTTCTCTCCCTGAAGTCACGCCAGACTCTGTCCTCAAAAGCTGAAGCCAGGTTTCTGTCCCTTCTCTTCTCAGCTTGTGCCCAGGACCCTCCGACCTGGTAACGCCCCCAGGTGGGGAAAATGCAGGGGCGGTGAGGCCCAGAGGACTCTTAGACCCAGCTCTCACAGCAGAGCAGGCAGAAGAGCGTGGGGGAGGCTGCCATGGCCAGCAGTTTGCACTCGCTGCCCCAGCCCCCACTCTGACTTCGTTTCTGTCCCAGGGCATCTGCCCTTCTAGTCTTCTCTGGTTCCCTTTAAGGGGACCTCAGAAGTAGCAAAGAGAAACGAATGGTTACTGAACCAAAGGGGGCTGTAGTCACCCAGCAACAATGTTCCCAGGACCCTGGTGTCTCATTCACTAGAGGGTCAAGGCCCAGCCCTCCAATGGTGCATCTCAGGTCTACCCACCTGCCTCTTGATACTGGGACTCCCTGGGACTCCTAGGAAAGCAAGGTCCCCCAGCCATGCAGGCTGGTCATCCTCGGGAGTGAAGGAGCATGGCTTCCTCAGGGACATGAGGAAAAGAATGAGTGCAGGGAGCTTTCTCCAGGGTTCTGCTTCTATCTAGGGACCAGAGGTTCACGTGAGGCGATAGAGGGGAGACCAGGGACACAGCCAGAGAGGTGGGAGGTAGACATCTTCTGGGACAACACAGCCCAAAGCCACACCCCTCAGCCACACTGGTATGTCCTCCCCTCCTTTCCCAGGACGATGGGGAGCAGCGGCCTCCAAGGCCACTGGAGGGGTGTGTGCCTTGCTGCACGGCTCCACCTGCAGTGTTGGCCGCTACCAGGCTCTCTGCCCTTCTCAGGCCCATAGCACACAAGGCACACGAAAGGGTAATTCTCCATGGCTCCAGGCCTGGCCACACCCCAGTGGAAGGGACAGCGAGTGTCCCTTGGAGGGCGCTCCTCCTGCCCCAGCCTTCTGGTCATAGCTCAGCACACTGTGAAGGTTAAAGGGAGACAGGGAGGGCTCAAGCAAGCGAGCAAGCGAGGGACTTGCAGAGCACAGACAGGCTCCTGGGGAATGTGCATCCATTTAAGGAAGGCAGCTCATCCCACAGCAGCAGGTCTATATACAGTAACGAGTCCCTTCCTGCTCTCAAGGGAATGTCGCCCTCCACAGACGCCAGCGCCAGAAGGAGCCCCTCCAGTTCTGGTCCCCAGGAGCCCTCATCCCTCAGAGTCCTACTCTCTCTGGTGGTCACCTGGTAGAGCTTTAGCTGAGACCCACCTTGGAGGCGCAGGTACGAGCAGACGAGGTCAGAGCCAGGAGGTAAATATGGCAACTCATATTTATTACAATATGTACAGTCATATCTTATATTCTGAAATCTATACATGATCACATAAATGAACATGTTTCTCAGTGGGCAGGACAGATGTGGCTGTTGGTCAGGAAGGCCCTGCTGCCTGGCTCCACTGCAGGAGGGAGAAGCACACCTCACCACTGAGTAGCCAAACCATGACACAGCAAGCGAGGATGGTCTTGTGTGGTATACAGGACAACAGGGCAGGTGGGAGCATCTGTCAGCCAGGACCTGGTTGTAGGGAGGCTGGGTCCTGGCAGGCCCACAGATGAAGAGCAGGTCCAGGGCTCTGGCTTTTGGAACAGGCAAAAAAGAAGCCCCAGGCCAAGCCAGGGCACAGTAGGAGACAGCAAGACCATGGGGGCCACAGCCCCCTGCACTAAGGTGACAGGAGGCAGGAGATGACATGAGCTCTGGCCATGCATGGTGTCAGGTAGTCAAGATCCTCAGAGGACACACCTGGACAGGACACCTGTCCAGGAGGGGTAGGCAGGGGTGTGAGCACAGGGCTCTGGAGTCCTCCGCTTGGCCTCCAACAGCCAGAGCCACCAGGGCTGGGGGAGGTGTTTGGGAGGCTGGTGAACGGAGGAACCCCACACTGCTGCAGCTGAGGACAGCCTCACCCCTACCTGGGTTGCCAGCCACCCTCATGGAGGCAGAGCCACGCTCATGCCCACCTGCCACTGATGTCCTGGGGCGCTGGGAAGGCGGGCAAGCAAGCGCCCACCTAGTGCCGCTCGCTCTCGTTGCTGGCGCCCTCTGGCCGCCGAAGCTTGTCCACCTGCTCATTGATCTGCCCGTCACCGCCCCGCCGGTCCTCCCTCTGCACCCCAAGCACGTCTTCCTCATCCACGTGGCTCACGTCCTCCTCCTCCTCCTCCTCCTCCTCCTCCTCCTTGTCCTCCCTCTTCTCCTCCTCCCCCTGCACCTCCATCCTCACCTGGCCCTTGACGTCCACCACCCCCTCCCCCTCCTCCTGGGGGCCCAGCAGGTGGTAGGTGGCCGTGGAGCCCTCGGGGCTGTGGCTCTCCTTCCCAGGAGAGGATGATGTGGACTCGTTGCTGACAGGAGAGATGTCGCTGCTGCTGTGGTGGTTCACGGCCGCGGGGCTGGAGGGCGAGGGCGACTTCACTGGGATCTGCCAGGAGGGAATCTTCGGGGCTGATGGGGAGGGCGGGAACTGCCTCCTGGCAGTGAAAGAGGAAAAAGAAGGAGGTAGAGGTTGGTGACTGCGTCCAGCTCCGGGGTCACACACTCCCTTGACCCCTGATCCCCGAAGGCTCGGTGAAGGCTACAGCTTCTCCAGGGCCACAAGGCAGAGGACTGGACAGAGTCCTTTTCCTTCCCTTCTAAGAGTAAAGCCTCTGGGCCCACTGGTGGTCTCATCAGCCAAGTGCCCTGTGCTGCCCAACACTATCCTAATACAGCCTCACCCTACCCAGGGCAGGACTTACCTGCCCTGGCAGCTGCTGCTCTTCCAGCTGGGGGCCTGCCCCACCCAACTCAACACTGTCCCTGCTCCACTCCTGCGGCTCTGCAGGGCAAAGACAGGAGGCCAAAGGGGCCAAGGATGGGAACTTGGGAGCCCTGGCTAGTGCATCTGTAATCTCAGCAAAAGGCAGCGGTGAGGAAGCCTGGCTGCTGGCCAGGGGGGTTGTGGCATTAAGAGCAAAGGTGATATCAGGAGCCTCTGCTGGAAACCTGGGAGCCCAAGCTCTGACAGAGGAAAAGCCAGCTCTCCTTCTCAGCCCTGGGCCAGCAGCCAGCCCAGACTGATGCCCATTCCAGGACAGACCTGAGACGTTAGGTCAGCATGGTCATGGCTCAGAAATGTGACTCTATAACACCAAGTCTTGTTTCTGCAAAGGCTGAGAGAACAAGTCCTGCTCCTGTCCAGGGCTGTGCCACCTCCCAACACCAGTCTCCAAGTTAGCCTTCGACCCCAGAGCCCACCTGTGGCACACACACCTGACCCTGCGCTGCTCCTCAGCCGCACAAATGCACCAAGAAACTCAGTTTGTCATTTTCAGGGTTTCAGTGTCACCCATGATCTGGATATGTCCCCTAGCCACAGAGCCACCTACTTCTAGGTTTGGAAAGCCAAAGACTTCTAAGAACAATCTGCCTGCCCTGCCTGGACTGCCCGCATCTGTTGTTGAGACCCATGTCCATTGTCCATCTGTCCTGCCTGCCCCCCCCCCCAAATCTCGATGAGAGAGGCTTTAGGAAGCATGGTCCTCTTAGCCTACGCTCATGACAGCATCCTTACCCCTCCCCTGTCACCCCCATAAAGCCCACCTTGGGTATCACAGTCTTGCCCCTGGCCAAGCAGACATGCACATGTCCAGACTCGGCCTGCTAGAGCAAACTCAGGCAGACTGACTGGCATTGCAGCTTCCTGGAAACTATACTTTCAGCTTTTTGGCCTGGTCACTCCCTAATCAGGGCTGCACTGAGCACAACGGGCTGCTACTACAGGGGACACTGGGAAGCTTCACAAGGAGGTCTGGTTCTCATAACACAAGCTTTCACACCCTGTGGCCCTCAGCAGGATGTTGTCTGAGACGAGGCTGCCTGGACAGGTGCTATGCTCGGGAAGGAGTGCCCTGTGTCAGTAAGAGTTCCCTGCTCTCTGCCTCAACAGTGTCCCTCTCGGGCAATCATTTTCCTATGTGACACTGTCCCCCTGGTATGGGAGGGCCCCTTGGGAGGGGAGGCAGGAGGACCTAGGGTCAGACTCAAGACCTTCATCTTCCAGCTCAGTGAAGGGTCCTGTCCCTCCTGTGACTGCTGGGCCAGCCCACAAACCAACCCAGCACACAGGTCGACTCTGGATAAGACAGAGCCCCGAGCTTCCTCTCCTACCTATTCAAGAGAAGCCCTTTCAAGGAGTTGATTTCCGACTTGAGCTCATTGATATTCTGGGACTCCAGGATCCAGTTGGTTGATGTGGTGGCCTGAAAGTCAGAACACAGGTAACATGGGTCACAGTGGTGCCTGATGCCAGCCTGGGTCACAGGTGGGGGGACTTAGGAGGACCCTGGGTGGGGCATCAGCTGCAAGCCATTCTGTGTCCCACTCTGCCACTGTCACACCTGCCTATGACCAAACCCTGTCAGGGTACACAGCCATGCTAGGTCCCTGCACGCTCACAGGTGGCAGGCACTACAGTATCACATGTAAGAAATCTCTGTCCCACAGACACTGACATGCTCACAGAGGCAGGTGACAGCGGGAGGGGCTGCGGTAGCCATGAGAATCTTCTACTTCTGTTGAATACCTGAAACTTCCATTTAAACCACCACCAATAAACACAAACTACCTCTCAACAACGCCTCCCTGAAACCACACCTTCCCCAAGAAGTCAGCACTAACCAGTCAGAGTTAACCAGTCAGGAGAAGCTGCTGACAGTGCAAGGCTGAGAGAGGCCTGAACGCCTGTGCTGTCTACAGCCCTGACTTTAAGCAGGCCAAGATGGCGGCTTCACCCTAATGCGGTTTCCACGGATCTCTGCTCCTGGCTGTGACGTCAGGTCTCCGGAGGCTTCCCAGGGTGAAGGACGATGCCCCTAGACAAATCCCACTCCACACAATCTTATCCATTCTTTGGGACAAATCAAAGTTGAATGGAGAGAAGGACTCAACCTGCTCCCGAAAGGGCAGGGGTGGGACACCTTCCTGCCACTAACCCTGGAGGACCATACCTTACTGTGGGAAGTGGAAAGGTCAGCCAGTGGCCCACAAGTTGGGGCTGTGGGCAGCTGTGGTCTGTGATGCCAGCGTGTGTGAGCATGAGAGGCAGGAGGCTCTCCCCAGGCTGCTGAGGGGACACCCCTGGACCTTCCTTGTGGGCCATGGTTCCTGACATAAGGGGGGGCACTATAGGCTAGCCTAGACACCCACTGGGCACGCCCTGTGGGAAGAAACCACTCAGCTGCTGGTCTTAGGAAGAAAGACTCGGAGGGAGGAGGGAGTGGCCAGCACCCACACACAGCCCCATAGGGCCCCTACCCCAGACCAGCAGACAGCAAGGCCCGGGAGCCACTGTTCTGGCTTCTCCGAGACCTTGAAAGCTACAGCAGCCCATTAACAAGGGAGCAGTTTCCACTCACCGGCCACAAAGGACTCAGATTTCCAAACGCACACAGTGCCAGATGCCAGGATTTAGAAATAAAACCTGACATCTGGGGCTTTTTAGCCAGTCTCTTTAAAAAACAGTTGTAGCAAACTCACAGGCTTCAGTTTTATGTAGGTTTTTAATTACTTAAAGCTCTTCTTTTCATTTTTTACAGTGCTCCAGTAGTAGTTTGGAAGGCAGATATAAAAACTTACGTTACAGCTGAGAAAACATAGCTTGAATCTTTGGTTTATGGGGTAAGAGCAGTCCTCACACACTGTGGGCCTGGATGCCAGGCCAGAGCCCCACTTCAGCAGGGAAAGCAGAGAAAGCTTCTGTGGGGCAGGAGCTGTGACAACTGGGGACTCTTCTAGACCACAGCAGGCCCCCAAACCAGCCAATCCAGCCCTCCTTAAAGTACAACATGTGATCTTTGTCTCATGCTTAGGGCCTGAAAAGAGTTTTCCAATTTCCGGAATGGCTGCCGGCCACTGGCAGGCCACAGATCTGAATGACAGCAGTCAAGTGGGGGCCACACTGCCTTCCTGCCTACTTTACAGCTGCCCGGAGGGGACACAGAGCCCAGCAGTGGTAGTACCCAGCCACCTGAGCAGGAAGTGAGACAGCCTATGTATAAAATGGAATGGACCTTGGGGACCTTCCTCACAAGGGCCCTGGACTGTATCACAAGTGCAAGATGTTCAGTTTCCTGCTCTGCAGTCCGGCTGTGTGGAGTCTGGTGGGACCCTCCCCGGGAGCAGCTCAGGTGGGATTCTTCAGAGGATCCCATGGACCCAACAGATGCTGCCTTTCAGATCCCTCGATCTAAGATGGTGCTTTGGGGATGATGCTGTCACACCCAAAGCTGAGGACCTGAATCCTGGGCTCTGGACCAGACACCACTCTTCCACACTCCAGCAGTGTGACAAAGTAGATGCTGTCACGGCTCCATCTTACAGACAGACTCAGAAGGTGGAAGTGACTTGCTTGGGGCCTAAGAGTTAGCAAGTAGAAGATGGAGGGGCTTATTCCAGACACACTGATCCTTCAGCCTGCTGCTGAGCACATGGAAAGGGACATGGAACACACTTTCATCAACCCTAGATGGCTCTAATGCCTTTCAGATCATCTGACCCCATGGATTTTGGGTCGAGAAAATTGCCCATTGCAAGGTGAGCCCAGTGCCTTAGGTAGAGTGGGAACCAGAGACTGCCCATGGTGCACTGCTCTACTGCCTCAACTTCTTGGCTAGGCTGTGACCTCCAACCAGCCTGCAGGGTCATGCCTGCCATCCAAAGTCCAGCAGCAGAACGTGGTTTTTCATCGCCGCTGTCAGGAGGTGGCATAGAAACAGGAATAGTGCCCTTGATGGTCAAAGGGTGCCCCCTTCTTTACTGGGATGGATGGACAAGGGGAGGACAGCAGACCCACAGAAGAAGATATACAGGTGGAGGACCAGGACTTAGAGCTAAATGGAACAGACCTTGGCCTGGGGACCCAAGGGCCCAAAGTTAAGTACCTTGGCAGCGGCCAGCTCATGGGCCAGCTCTTGGACCTTCTGCTGCTGCTGTCTCAGTAGCTCTTGGACAGAGGCCAGCGTTGTCTGTACCTGAGTCACTAGGGAGAAAAGCGTCACGTCTGGTAAGTTAGTGCCCAAGGTTCCTTCCTCGCCCACATACCTGCAAGCGCCTGCCTCCCTGCTGTGTGTAATTTATCTGTAGGCCCTTGTCCCCACACCCAGGTAATTTATCTGTGCCTGGGGTGATCCTCTGCACCAGGTGTAACCTCTGGTGTCTCTACTTCATCTTTTCGTTGTGTGCTTGTCCGTGGTCAACAGTATATCCATCCAAAACCTCTCCCCTCTAATTATGCCTGGCTGGGATGTGCCTGGCGCTCTAGCTCCCACTGAGTTCCAGTCATTCATCTCCCAGGCCTCACAGTGTCCTTGGGTGATCTAGGATGGTTGTCAGTCCCAGCAGGACTCAGCTCTCTACCACCTCCAGGAATGGGAAGTCCAAGTCCCATCTGTGGCGGTTTGCCCGTTCTGTTCTGCCCCACTGAGGATTTGCCAAGGCCCCACTACCATGTGACCTGTTGAGGCCTGTGACTACTGTGTCCTGCCTTCCAGGAGCAATGGCCCATGGGACAGATGAGTTAGAGGGTTCCAGATAGCTTTGCACAGGTGCCTGCTAGTGAGAGACAGAGACTCCTGCCTGGGGCAGGTGGACCTCTCTCCTGCTTCAAGGTTTAGACTCACAGCGTCCACTTAGTAAACAAGTTCATAAAGGAGAAAATCACCTCTGCCACAACAGGTCCCAGCTAATCTGGGCCATCGCAGGGGCAGCTGGTACTGAGTGTCGTCCATGAGGAGTCGATAACAGAGGAGGTGGCAGGGGTCCCAGGAGCCACAGTAATTACAGACTCTCTTGACCCTGCATTGGGTTCTTCCAGGGAAGGGGCAAAATCACTGAAAACCCCCCTGAAAACCTCATAGAAGCAGAAATTAAAAATGAACTTTACAGCCCTGAGAAAGGCTGTCATTTTATTCCCCTTATTAATATTCTGAGGTTGGGAGCCTTTCCGTAAAAACATAATTAATTGAGGCCGCGCCGACAGTAAACAAGCAATTTCAAATTAAACCGAAATGACGGCGGCTTCATTTGCAAATGTGAACAGATTCTCAGAGCAGATAAATGAAGTCACCACAGAGTGGAGACGGAGAGAGAGGGAGGGGCCGAAAGGGGCTGCGCGAGGGGCTTTGAGGGGTGACTTGATGGAGTCATTAATCTTTACCTGTCTGGGCCACGCTGCCACTCAGTTCGGAGAGACTCGATGCCATCCTCTCCAGCTGCTTCCTGTCCTCTCTGCCTCCCAGGATAAGGGGCAGCAGGTACTTCTGCAGAAGGGACCAGGTGAGGAGCCTCTCAAATCCCACCACCCAACTTGTCCTGACCTTCTGCGGTCACTCAAGTCCCAACACACTCCATACTAGAAAAAAAGTGCTTGAAAAAGTTAGCAGGCTGCCGTACGGCCTCATAAGAACTTTTGCAGGAACAAGGCCAAAGGCCAAAGGCCAAAGGAGGGCGAGAAGTCAGAGGTGGCTGGCACGGGCTAGGCCAGCTCTCTGAGCTGTCCCCAAGCTCAGGAAGGTCTCCCTGTGAGGGAGACCTCGCCCCTTAAACTTACTTTTCTTAAATATATATAAATAAATATATATACGGTGCTCTTAAATTCTACTTGAAAAGTTCTAAGGGAAGACTGCAGAAGGCTATGGCGGCCCCTGACCCCAGTGGTGGCTGCTGGGGAGGAGAGAAAAGCAGCATTCACTGTTGCCTTTCTGAATCTTTAACACTTGAACTCTGAAGGAAACAAACTGCCTCACCCATCCAGAAACAGCATGAGATCTGAGTAAACACAACATTACTAGAGAGACTAGAGGAAAACCAACAGACTTCTGGGATCACTGATCTCCCATGGCGGGAATAAGGCACACACATCGGAAGCCTGCTAAAGAGGGCACCTTGGACTTGTCTAAACATCAGAAGGGGCTTTCTTCACAGAAAGCCAAAACAGCCTAGATGCTTCCAGAACTGAGAGACAGAGGAGAAACTGCCTGAGACCCACAAAGCAAAGGCTGCTGACTGCAGAGCCACCAGACAAGAGCACCTAGGACCAGCCTCTCATCATTTGGGAAGGCAGGGGCACAGCTGGTCATCTGTAGGGCTTGGGACAAGGATGTCTGGGACCTGGGGACCTTCTGTTTCTCTAATCTAGGAGGGCAAGGTCCACACCAACCTGAGAGGGTACTGCTTCAGCCTGGCACACACATCTGGCAGGTGCTATCCAGAGAGAACTCAGGTTTTTAGTCTATTTGGGTTCCAGACAGAAAGAAAGGGAACGTTCTCCATTATGGGATCTGTACTAGGGAAGAAAAGCAGCTCTCCTAGGCTTTGTGGGAGACCTCATTTCAAGACAGACTCAGAGTGAAGCCCGTCATTTAGCATATGCACAGAAGCCGTTTCTATTCTGCAAAGTGCTTTGCAGCCACAGTGTGAGTTATTACCCACAACCGAGCGGAACTCATCAACTGCAGCCTGACGTTTCCTAAGTATAAAAGTCAAGAAAGTCTCAGCTGCATAACCAGCTCCGCCCCCCCCCCCATTCCTGAGGCCAGAGCCCATGAGCGGGGAGTGGGGAGGGCTGCCGCTGCCCTGGCTGAGTCTCTGTGCCTGTACAAAGCAAGACAGCCTCCGTTTTTAAAACTTAAAACTACCAGCGGATGTGTTACCATTGTGACCAACATTTCAATGTTTCCTTCTTTTTAAAGCAGGCGGGTGGCAGAGCTCCGTGGAAACAGGTGATGATTTTTGTCACATCTGAACCAAGGTGCCACACCTCCTGTTCTCTGGGGGCAGGGCCAGGCAATGGGACAATCATGTGCCCTGTGAACTCCCTGCTGGTGCCTGTCTGCAGCCAGTGACCTGAGAGAGGCTGCCCTCATCATACAAGGCTTCACACCAGCTCAGAGGCAAGTCCTCACTTTGCTTCTGATTTTCTGCATGGGAATGTCTTACTCTGGCAACAGACACTACACCGAAAAGTTATATTCTGCCACAACTCTGTCATTAGCTATTGTATGAAGTCAAAAACTAAGAATCCAAGAATGCAAGGTTTAAACACATTTCATGTGCTGCAAAATTACACTCCAAGCCTGGGAATTCAATAGAGTCCTTTAAAAACAGTCACCAAGCCAGGTGGATTAGTGCAAGGCCTCAGAAGTGAACATGGCTTCTCTCCAGGAAAAGCAGCCTTGGATGCTGGGCCATCCTGGCTGTGCATCTTATAGATTGGGTTTCTCCAGATCAAGGCTGGGCCTTTCCACTGATCTCATGGGAGAAAGTGTTTGTTGAGTGCCTTCAGTTCTGCTGTGAGCATCAGCGCTGCTTTTGAGGGTTGGCTGACTCACAAAGCCTAGGGAAAACCCCGCGCTTATACAGATGCTACCACGACCCACAGAAAACAAGAAGTGGGCTCCCTGGGCTACTTGTAAATACCATGGTGGAACAAGGGCATCTAAGGGGCTTCCCACGAGCCAGCAGGCAGGGAGCCAGCACCACTCCAGCACTGTCCTAAGGACTGACTCTGGCCTTCACTGCAATCCTGAGACACGTTCTACAGATGCTATAAACCATCATACCCTAAAGATGTGTTAATACACCTGACCTACTGAGGAACACAGTGCGTGGGCCCTATCTTCAGTGTGCTCAGAACACTTGCAGGGGCAGTTGGGCAAAACTGTCAAACCAAAGCCCCTGTAAGTGTTCACCATCTCAGCTCCTTCCCTGGGTATTGCACCCAAAGTGAGAATACTGACATGGGTAGGCACACTTTACACCACTGCAAAGTCAGAGCATCAGTTCCAGCCCCATCTTATGGATAGACCAGTGCACTCTGGGACAGAGTCAGCTCAACACACATGGCTAGGCTCCAGAGTCCAAGCTCTTAATCACTAGGTTGTTCTGTGTCTCAAATTTATAATCTATTCACTGGTACCAGGCACTGCCCTAAATACCTGCCCTGGCCTTTAGGTCACTCTGGGGGAGGTGGGGGGAGTTGGCACAAGGAGGAGAGCTGAAGCTCAGTGCCTGTGTACCTCCATGTCCACCACAGCCACTGTGTTCTAGGGCTGAGCATCCACAGAGTGCAGAACCTCTGTAAGTAAGCCAGGGGTCAATGGCTCAACACCAAAGGGTGGCAGGCCACAACTCAACACCAAAGGGTGGCAGGCCAGAACCCTCGAAGCCCCTGGGAGGCAACTCACCTTGTAGAGCTGGTGAAAGCCAAATGCAATTCCTGCCATGATGATGGCCAAGGCACCGTAATCTCGCCATCGGGAACTTCCGGGGCCTAGGGATAGAAGACAAAACTAAGGAAGAAAGCTAGGACAGGTCTCCACACCCCACCCTAGGAGTGGAACTGTCTCAGCTGGCAGGCAAGTGAGACACACAGCTGGAGAAACTAGCACGTGGCCATCAGAACAGCTGCTCGGCTGGCTCTTCCCTCTTCTTCCCAGGCTCCCAGAACCATCTGTCACACTTGAGATGGGAGCGAGTGACCTGACCATGAGATGCTGACTCAGCTGTGAGCTAACTGTCCAGCCTTGGAGGTCAGATCCCAGGGGTGATGTGAGGACCTTTGACCTGGCCTATGAGGTCAAGGGACAAGGAATTATTCTAGTGTACACATACCACACAGAGGGATAAACCAGGGCCCATGGTGACCTGGGCCTCCCTGCTCTGCTCACTCCTCAGACTCTGAAGACACAAGTCTAAGCAAGACAACTTCTCAGGGTGCTGAGAGACGGGGCCAAGGCCTGTGTCCTGGAGGCCCTGCGAGTGGGTGGGGAAGGGAAGGCTGGTCGGGGCCACCCGAAGACCAGTCCACAGCAGTGGGGTGGCAGTAAGGGGTTTGGAAAAGAAGCGCCATAGTCAGAACTCTGTACTTTAAGAGAATGCTGGGCTAGCTCTGGGGCAAGCTAGAAGTAGGGGACTTTAGGAAGGGCCACAGAGGTGAAGACAGCCCATCTAGATCATAGGGCAAGGAAGTTTTAGAAAGAGAATTTGCCAATTTGTTGAGGAAGTAGACTGAGCGTCCAGTCCTCACCTCAGGGTAGGCTCCTGGCCAGTTCACACAGAACCGACCAGCTCACACAGGCGTGCTCAACTTTTATTGTGCTTTTCCTTTCTGTAACTGTGATCTGAAAACAGCAAATGGAAAATTCCAGAAAGAAACAACATACAGGTTTTAAACAGTATACACCATTCTAAGTAGCATGAGGGCATCCAAGCCACCGTGCTCTGACCTACCCAGGACTCCACTTAGCTCTGTACCGTGAATCCACACTGTATATGCTACTTGCCTAGCACACAGCGACTACCATCCTGACTCTCAGACTGTCTCAGTGTCCCTTACTTCACTTAACAGTGGTCTCGGAGCATGGGGCAAAGGTACTGGTAATCTGAATCTGCCTAAGAAAAGCCTAAGCATTTCCCTCCAGAGAAAAAGGTGAAAGTTCTCAATAAGGAAAAACACACCAGCAAGATCACACTGTCAAGATCAATGGGGGGGGGGCGACATGACACTTTTATTACAGCACACTGCCACAGTCACACTTCACTATAGTCACTCTTACTACGCCTAATCTGTAAATTAAACTTTGTCACGGCTGTGTGTGTAGACAGGGTGCAGTCTCAGGCTTCCACTGGCTCCTGGACAAAGTCTCTACAGTTCCAGGTGAGATTCCACTTGCATGAGAGGCAGGTTCTCTACCATCCCACAAAGGGCTCGTGAGGGGTGTGGGTATGCATTCTGGCCTGCTCTCTCCAGGCCTCGTCAGCCTCCTCTCAGGGGCTCTGCCAAGAGGAGGAACAGAGACCATGGTGGGCACACTTGGCAGTCATGTATGAAACTACATACTGTGCCAGTGGAAGTGTTGCCCACAAGGTGCCTGACAGGCTTGCTGAGAGAAGAGCTGCCTTCCTCCAAAGGTGAGTCTGGGAGCATGGAAACAGGAGCACTGTGGGAACCCTCAGAGGAGGACTGTAACCAGCTTTCGTGTTTCAGAGAGCTCCCCTGCCTCTACCTTCCACCCGTGCCTGCAAGCTCACTGGCACACCTGCCACCATCTGCTGTCCCAGGACCAAAGGAGAGGAGCAGGGGCCTTGGCAGGGCTAGTGGTGGGATGTGGGCATGGAGTTAGGAATATGGACATGTGGCCTGGCCAGGAAAGTCACCTCCAAGAAGGTGAGGGGCACAGCCCTCCTATCTGGACTACTACACAGCACTCTCAAGAGGCAAGAAGAGATCTAAAGAATGTCTTCTTTACTACCATAGTCCCCTGTACTCATGGAGTCCACATGGGATTCCCAACATGGCCCAGCTCATCTTGGCCATAAAACTGCAATTATATGGCTTCTCCCAGACTTCAACTCCCATTTCTGTTTTACATATCCTGACAAGACTCAGTTTAAGCATCAAGTAGAAGTCAGCGTACTGTAAAGAGGCACCCTTTGCCACCAACAGCCGCCGTCCAGGGCTCTGCGTCATCCTTCCCAGAACGTTCACACATGGAAAGCAAGAGGTGCGTGTCTGAGTCTTCTCTTCCCCCCATTCTCAGTGTCTTCCCACCGCTGTCTGGTAATCCTCACAACCTCCTTGCCGACATACAGACCCCTCTCTGATCTGTAACTGCACCACACACGCTGTAGACCTGTGTCAACTCCCATACAGGCCACTAGAAAACCCGAGACTTCCTAGGGACATGGGACAGAAGGAATGCATGGTTTTGACTCCAAGAGACACAGCCAGATTCTGTCCACAGGGCTTTGCAAATCCATCTGCCAGCCACATATTCAGCGCCTGTTCCAGTGTGTTCATCAGAGGTAGATTCTGCCAGTTCGGTGGCAGCAGAATGGTACTTCCTGCTGCTCCTGATGGGCACCCACCTTATCTTGTGTGGGTTCCCCTTTTGGCATTTCTACTTCAATTTCTTCCTTCCTCACTCTTGAGAGACTTTCTTATGTAGCATGGATACTAGTTCTCATAAATACCTCATTTCTTTTCTTTTGGTTCTTGTGTGTGTGTGTGTGTGTGTGTGCGCGCGCGCGCGCGCACACACGCGAGCGTGTCTCTCTGTATGTGTGCATGTGTTTGTGTGTATGTGTGTGCGTGCGTGCACATGAGTGTGTGTGTGTGTGTGTGTGTGTGTTTACAGACATCTGTCAATGTGCTCTTTTGTGAGTTCTGGGGTTTGTGTTACAGTTAAGGATGTCCCCAAAATATGTTTGGATACACTGTGATGCCCAGTGACGTGAAAAGGTCATCCCATGAAGGCAAGGACTGCCTTGCCTATTGTTCCTTCTCTTCTAGTCAGCACTGTTCTTCATGCCAGAGGTAAAAGCCAACCCCCCTTCTCCATTTTTAGGAGAACAATGTGGTGAAAGATTGACCTTGCCACACTTTGAGAGGGTCATTGTTCCAGAGGGTCCTTGTTGCATGTGTCCATGCAACCCAAATCCCCTGAGAAGACCTTCCCATGGTGCTACAATTAGCAAACCACATTCACCATCAACCCTCAAACTGCCGCTGGCCACTGAGTCCCCTACAAGAAGGCAACTGTACTAGGCTGGCAACCCAAGCAGACCCCAAGTCTGCTGAATCGGCTGCCTCACCACAGGCACAGCCTCTTTCTGCTGACATCGAGACCCTGAGGCCAAGCAGCCTCCAGAGCTTGAGATCCGGGAGTTCAGACCCTGCACCGCTGTCCACCATGCCGGAGCTCTGCCCTCCCTAGGCCTAAGAAACACCTGTAGTTCCTTGACAGCTCACCCTTCACCCTCACTGCCGCGGCGGCATCCCTGCCAGGCTCTCGCTAAGAACATTTTATTGCCCCCTGGTTTTCATTATTAATGAAAAGGGACCGGAATGATCTTTCCTAAAGTTCAGGGAGTCTATAAAGACTAGAAGCTGAAATGCCATTTTACTCGTTTTAGAGATGTGTGATACAATTCTGTCTGTGGCAAAATGAAGGGAGAAAAACTCAGATGCAAAAGCCTCTTTTCTTTTCTACCTCATGGCTCCAAGGTAAGAGGTTCAACTGCAGCAGCACGCACTGGCTCACACCTCCAGCCCTCACCAACCTCCTGCCTCCTGCCCACACTAAGGGCAGGTTTTCCTGAATCCAGCAGATGCTCTTATCATGCACTCCAGTGTCCAGGTGTACAATACAGGGCCAGCAACCTGACAGCTCCAGGTGAGAAGGGAAATGGAAAAAGCTTTTTAAAAAAATTACCACATGTATTTATCTACTTACATGTAAACAAGGGCATGGATGCACAAGTGTGTGGGTGTCAGAGGACAACTTTCCTGAGTCTGTTCTCTCCTTTTACCATATGGGTCCCAGGGATCAGACCCAGGTTATCAGGCTTAGTGGCAAGAACCTATACCCATTTTCTCAGCTTGTCCACCCAAGAAAGCAATACAACTGGGCTGGAGACATGGCTCAGTGGTTATGAATACATGCTGTTCTTCCAGAAGCCATGAGTTCGGTTCCCAGTACCCACATGGCAGCTTACAACTGTCTGTAACTCCAATTCCAGGGGATCTGATGCCTCTGGTCTCCAATGCACAATGCATACACATAATGAAAAGTAATAGAAATAAATCTTTTTTTTTTTTTTAAAGCTGCACAACTACTAGGTAGCATGGTCATACCTATCATCCCAGGATTTAGGAGGCTGAGGCAGGAGGATCACAAGTTGGAGGTAGCCTTGGCTACATGGCAAAAGTGAGAGTGGGAAGCTAGAGCGAGCAAGAACAAGAGCAATCTGCTTCTCTCAGACCCTGCCTGATGCTCTCCCCCCAAGGCTCCATCCCCCAAATGGTGGGGCAGGAAGTGCCACCAACACCACATCCTGGGGGCTTTAAAAAGATATGGGACAGCAATGACTGTCCCACACACCTGAGCATCTCTGGAACTGTGACTCTAAGACACAGTAAGGGACAAACTGCTGTGCTGTAAAGGGGTGGGGTCCTTGAATTGGACATCCCTGTAAGCATCACACAGTGCACTCCATGAAGCAGCCTGGGCACTGAGGCTCAGGATTGGGGCAGCTGTCAGGACAGTAGCCATGGTGGCAGGGGAGCATCTCCAAGGCTCTGTAACTATTCTCTGAATACCAACAAAACCAACATTGCCAGGCTCTTTCACTGAATCTCAATCAACAGAGAAACCAAACCCTCTTAGCACATGGGAGCAGACAAAAGCAGGCAGGAATATGCCAACCTGAGCTGAGGAGTACAGCCTCCTCAGCAACAGCCCTGGAACGTGCATTGTGATCATCCCACTG